GATTTTGATATATACTTATAATGGATGGTTATAATGGATGATTATAATGGATTGTTATAATGGACTATTATCATAGATTATAATGGAATTTAATGGATGATTATAATGGATTATTATGGATGATTATAATGGATTATTATGGATGATTATAATGGATTATTATGATGGATGATTATGATGGATTATTATGATGGCTTATTATAATGGATTATTTTAATGGATTATTATAGTGGATTATTATAATGAATTATAATGGATTATAATGGATGATTATCATGAATATAATGGATTATAATGGATTATTATAGTGGATTGTTCTAATGGATTATTTTCATGGATTATTTTCATGGATTATTTTCATGGATTATAATGGATTACAATGGATTATAATGGATTATTATGATGGATGATTATGATGGAATATTATAATGGATTATAATGGATTATAAAGGATTATAATGGATGATTATGATGGACGATTTTGATGGATACCTATAATGGATGATTTTAATGGATTATTATAATGGAGTATTATAATGGACTATTATCATGGATTATAATGGATTATAATGGATGATTATGATGGATGATTTTGATGTATACTTATAGTGGATGATTATAATGGATTATTTTGATGGATTATAATGGATTATTATAATGGAATATTATACTGGATTAAAATGGGTTATTATTTTGGATTATTATAATGGATTATTTTCATGGATTATTACAATGGATTTTTATAATGGATTATAATGGATGATTATAATGGATGATTATAATGGGTGATTAAAATGGATGATTATAATGGATTATTATAATGGATTATAATGGATTATTTTCCAGAACGGCCCCTCATGGGGGAGTGATTTTTGCTCTAAAAATGGTCAAAAATACTGGTATTTACACTGTTTTGTGACCAAAGTGGGCTTAAAACCGTTATTTTAGAGCAAAAAATAGAGTTCACCTCCAAAGGCTCTCATATGCTGTCATAAATCACTGGCATTTACAGACTCTTGTGGCAGGATTCAATTTTTTCTGTGAGGCTTGCAAAGAACTACAAACAATCAGCACATAACAGAAAACATCTGCTGCACAACATGCCATAAGAATGGGTAGCTGCACATCTTGGAACAGAATATACAGTAGCAATAGGTGACTAGTGTGATGGAGGTGATGGAGAAATTCTATTGTTAAAAGCAATTGATATGATATAGGTGTTTCTTCATGAACTTGTTAGATTGATATCATCTTAACATATATTGTATATAGAAGCATTTGCGCTACATAAGAAGTATGGTGGGAAGGGCATACATTATATAGGTGGATATAACACAAGCACATCTAACACTCTGGATAAGAAGGATGGTGGGAATGTTACAACTCAAGAAGTAGGTACATATCTCGTTTATCATTGTTATCTTGCAGAGTCTTGTCAGCAGTCTCATTTCAATAGTTAGACAGAGAGAGAGAGAGAAAGAAAGCCTAAGAGACAAAGACGTGTATCAAGCTGTTGGATATTAAGGTCAGGCAACCTGTGTGGTGGCATAGCTATTCAAAGATAACGGTATGTTTGCTTCTTTGAAACATAAGTTTAAAAGATGGCCAAGATCCAAACATACACAATCTAGAATCACCAAAACCTGCACAGCCATCAAAAAAAACAAACAAACCAATAGATGCACCAAACCTGCACAAGCACCAAAAAAAAAACAAACCACTAGATGCATCAAACCTGCAAAGGCACCAAAAAAAATAAAAAATAAAATAAAATTTCCAGGAACTATGGGTCCACTTCTGAGTAGTTGCTGGAATTTTTGGTTTTTTTGGTTTTTGTTGGTGCCTGTCGATGTTTGGTGCATCTAGTGGTTTCGTTTTTTTTGTTTTTGTGGTGCCTGTCAATGTTTTTGTATATCTCATGTCAAGATCATGATGAAAAAAGTGTGTTTTACTAGGGTTTTAGACCCTCCAAATGCATAAAACATCGGTATTTACAGTGTTTTATCATCATTTTTAATGAAAATTCACTCCCCCACGGGGTGCCGCCCTCTTATTTTAATGGATTATTATGGATTATTATGATGGATTATTATAATGGATTATTATAATGGACTATTATCATGGATTATAATGGATTATAATGGATGATCATAATGGATTATAATGGATGATTATAATGGATTATGATGGATTATTATTATGGATTATTATGATGGCTTATTATAATGGATTATTCTAATGGATTATTATAGTGGATTATTATAATGGATTATAATGGATTATAATGGATTATAATGGATGATTATCATGGATTATAATGGATTATAATGGATTATTATAGTGGATTGTTCTAATGGATTATGTTCATGGATTATTTTCATGGATTATTTTCATGGATTATAATGGATTACAATGGATTATAATGGATTATTATGATGGATGATTATGATGGAATATTATAATGGATTATAATGTATTATTATAGTGGATTATTATAATGGATTATAATGGATTATCATGGATTATAATGGATTATAATGGCTTATATTGGATGATTATGATGGATGATTATCATGGATTATAATGGATTATCATTGATAATTATCATGGATTATTATAATGGATTATTTTTGTTTAGCTTAGATGTTGCCAGACCTGGCTAGGTGGTTCGTAAGTTATAGCCCTTTACAGCAGGGGCAATTACAAGACTTAAGGGTAGAATTGTCAATCACATGTGTATAAAGTATGCATGGTCTTAGATTGCACCGCTTCACCCCTTCATATCTATACCTTTTTGCAACCAAATAGAACCATCCTTTCAACTGGAACCTTTCCCGGGAGTTCCCAAAGCCACCATGAAATGCTGTCCGCCTCACAAGATCAATCTTCGCCTTGTGAAGTTAATGAATCCACCATTTTTTGGACCCCTGGGAGCATGTTACATGTTACTCTCTGGTAAACCAACAGTTCGCTATTGAAAATGGCCCAGTCGAAATAGCTGATTTACCCATTAAGAAGGCTGATTATCAATAGCTATGTAAACGTTTACCAGAGGATACATGTTGCCGAGGAAATTGTTAGAGTCATTTACAGCACCAAGTTTTCAGCTCAAATTGCACGACTCTCGGCTGCGGCTGCGTTGAGCAGCGGGGGATGTGAGTTGGATGTGGGAAATGGGGAACCCCAGCGCTGGATGCACCCTCTGGTTATGACTAACATAGCTATGGAAAATCCATTATAAATGGAAGTTTTAATGGGAAAATCATCTATAAATGGGCCATTTTCCATGGCTATGTTAAATAACCAGAGGTAAATGATTCAAATTTGAATACATCCAATACATCCAATAGGTGTCAACCCCGGATAAATAAACTATGGTTTATGGAAAAAAACTCGGGCACTCCACAAATAGGAGTAATCTGATGCTTCACTGGTACCCCCTCAGTCAAACAGCCGCTTGGGGTTTAGTAATTCAGGGTTGACAATCAATGTTTTGAATGAGTTTCTCAAGAGGATGGTCTACTTACTGGTGGCTTGGATAATTGGGCAGGCAGTATCGAAGAGGCTGATTGTGACATGAGAGCTGCGCCGACTGAATGGAGATACTGACGTCGATGGCCAGAAAGATGATGAGCCAACGGTAGAGCCAACGGTAAAATAATGATTCGACGTATGTTTTGCGGTGCTGGGTCGCAAGGTTGGCCCAAATATTTGCAAAGGTGGAGAAGTTCGTAAAATCAACACCTGAAAAAGAAGCGGGTGCTATATGGAGGATCATCCCACTTCGTGGCTAGTTTTTGGTACCGGGGACTCTCAAAGGTTCGCGACTGTTGTCAGATTTTTGGTCAGGATCAACATTGCTGTCGCAACAAGCTGCTTCCTCTTTGGATGCTGCGTGGAAGAAGGGGGTGCGGGGTGGGAGGGGGCTGATAACGATCGTTTCTCTTGCATTTTGATACCATACAATCACTTGGTGCTACGCTCTTAACTTGCTCAAGCAACTTGCAACACCCTCTTGATGCTAGTTTCTCAAGCAACTTACAGCACGCTCTTGACGCTACGCTCTGAACTTTCTCAAGCAATTTACAACACGTTCTTGCTACGCCCGTAGCTTTCCCAAGCAACTTGCAACACGCTGTTGATGTTGGTGATGGCATGTTGCTGAATTCTGATCTTCACGGTAATGCTGATCAGGATGTGGATGTTGATTAGAAAGTCTTGTTTTGCACGCAATTCAACTACCCCCTAGGAAAGCTTTGAACAGTGCCAGGAGAGCCATATAGGCGGACTCAGTTAAACCTCGGGTCACCGGGCAACGCTACCCAAGGAAAAGAAGATGCTTCGACGGTATTGCTGGCTGCCTCATCACGGAGCTTGGCAACCCACTGCAGCAGGTGTTTTTCGAGGATTGCGTCACATGTGGATGGACATCCAGGGCCTCCACATGTGGGGTCGCACATTTGGACCTCAAGGTCGGCAACTTCATTAGAAGCAAGACCGGCCTCCGCCTCATTGACTGTGGATTCGCCACCCACTTCGGGACGCCGTTGGCGGGCCCTTGCGGGTCGTTGGAGGTCATGGCCCCAAGAGCTTTACAAGGAGTGTAAAGTCCCCGAGGAATTCGGAACGGCTTTGGCAATGAGAGTTGCTTATTATAGCAAAGAGAGCCGATTTGGCCATTGCACATGCGGATGTGTGCTGCGTCCTCAGAAAGCTCCAAGCGCCCAGGGTGAGTTGCTCATTCGGTTCCGCAGCAGTGTATGCCCAAAAAAATACCTCACGGATGGACGTGAAGGTTGCTGGTGGTAGGTCCATTGCCGACCACATGATGGAAGCATATGAAAGCTGCTGCCAGCCCCAAGAGCGCAATGAAGGGCGCAAGCCCCAAGGCTGTGATGAAGCGCAGAATGAAGGCTCCCAAGGTGATGAAAGCTGCTATGAAAAGCCACGGCCCCGGGGACAAGCAGCCAAGGGCAAAACGGGGCACCAAAGGTACACGCGCAGGTAGGAGGCCCAACGCCACCAACCAAGAGCTTATTGATTTGCTTCGTGATACAAAATTTTCAAGGAAGCGCCAGAGTTGAAGAAGATTGGGAAGAAGTCAGACCAACTTACATGTCTAAAAATATTTGATCTGTGTCTCAGAGCGCGTTTGGAAATACATGCGCCGTGCCTGTGGCCTGATCGGTGCAAGGGTGCACGGATGGCACTTTGGACGACACGGTTGGGTAGTCCTGCGGGGGCACAAGCATGATGCCCTGCTTTCAAGATTTCCCAGCATGATATGCTGGTGGCATGTAACTGCGTGATGCTGGCGAAAACACATTAGTTATTAGTTTGACATCTTTGACCTCTTTGCGAAAGAAATCTTCTGCCATTTGATGACGCGAACTGAGAACATTCAAGCGAATCAAGTTGTTTGCATCTGCCTGTCCGTGTGCTAGTGCTGTTCTCACAGCACTGTGATCCTTGGGGACATGCGAAGAGGAATGCTCAAAAAAAATCTGCTTCGTGATTTGGCAACTGAGAAGTTCGTGCTTCAATGACAGACTGCCCTGGAGGGTATCCAGGCAAGCCCATCGGAGCTGCAGCGTTTTGCCGCTGCTTGGCCGCAAGGTTTGGCCACAGAGAGATGACATGGCCGATAAAGCGAGGGGCTAGGTTCAATGGTTCGAGCATTTCTACCAGATTGTCACGGCCATCACGGCCATGCTTTTGGTTGCACGCTCTGTTGGGGGATGCATGTTATTTTGCCGACATCACTGTCATCAAACACAATGCTGGTAAGGCGGGGTTGGGGTGTGGTGTGGTTGGGGTGTAATAACCTTCTTTCACCTGCCTCTTGCACTTGATGCTGCGCTTCAACTTCCTCGCGCGCTTCATGCTCTACTTGATGGTATTAGGTACTGCGGGGTGGGGTGAGGCAGGGCAGTAACCTTCATGTACACACGCACACGGCAGCGAATGCTATGCCAATGATGAGCTAGTTTCGGATACAAGAATTCCACTCGTTTGAAGCCAAACGGCAAGGTTGCCCTCAGTTATGTTGACAAATCTCCCCTGACACGAGATATTGATCGCGCTTGTCGAACTACCACAGGTCCCCCAACCTGTCTCAAAGACCTCGACATTGCGAGCTCTGCATAAATTGCGCTAGATGGGTCCTGAGTTTGACGCTCCGAGTCATGAAGATTTGCCGTCCTCGGGAGATGAACAAAGCTTGCATTCTCCTACCTGAAAAATGTTGACCCAAGAAAAAAAATCGGGGAAGACCAGGTCTACGACCCCCTGCAAACACTGCGTCAATATTCAAATGTTTGTTTCGTCAGGGGCTTCAACCATTTTTTCATTACATATACGGTTATACTCCCTTCCCCCGATCATATTACGTACACACGCCGTTTTTAGGGCCCAAAAAAATTAGATTCAACTGATTTTATGAGATGTTCGTGTGGTTTCTATTCAATATGATATGGGAAAGAAAATAAACACAACCCTCAAGAATCTACATTTCAAAAAATTCCATCCCCTCATGAAACAACCCCACTGGACATTCATATTAAGTACCCCCGAATGGTCCCAAAAATGTGATTTCATCCCCTACTAAACCATGGTTCCTGAGGGGGGGTTGAATATGAACGGGGGAAGCGATTCATCCCATCCCTCGCATCAAATACTGAACCAACGTTGTGTAATCTCCAATTACAAGTTGCTGCCCTCCCAGTGATGTTTGCTGGGTTACTAGGCCAAATCTTAGGTAGTTAATCCTTTTGTCTTTTGGTATGTATGGGACTATCTACGTTCACCAGCTAAGAACTCAATTTTTTGCAAGGTATCTGGCTGATTGGCCGGGGTTTTAAGTCCAATTTTTTAAAGATGTATCTCCCATACACGAAAAAAAACGCCTAGGCAAAAATAAACCAACGCAACTATTTTTTTGCGGATCTGGGGCACCACCCATATGAAAATTGTGGTTCAGTATGATTCTCTAGTTCAAATTAATCATTGCAGTTTCCCAGAATTATCCATAATTAACCACCATTAACCACTGGATTAAACCATTAACCACTGGATTTAACATAATGAACCATTAAATTCACCGCCATGAACCATAATGAAAAACATTGGTTATTCATCAACCATTAACCCACTATCATTGACCTTGTTGGGTTTCCCACCTAGGTTTCCCACCTAGGAACCCCACATTGCAGTGCCGCACCTCAGGAACTTGGACGAAAGTATCGAGCAAGTAAAGGCCGCCGGTCGACATTTTCGGGCTGGGCTGGAGCGGTTGACTCAGTGTCTGGATGGTTGTTGATTATATTGGGATACTGGGAATATTTTGGGGATGATAATTTTTTGGAAGAATCTTTTGGGGATTGGGATTATCTTGAACTAATCCTGTAGTTCATTGGTTATACCATCTGGTTTTTGAACGGTTTGCTATGGAAAAGAACCCAGTTATAGATGATAAAAATGATGATTTACCTATTCAAAATGATGATTTTCCAATTAGCTACTACTACAATCCTAATATATTAGGGATTAAGTTTGGGATCATACAGGTTACTTAATGTTATTTACAATTTTCTCATATTGGTTACAGTGGTTTTTTGTATTGGGTAGGGGTCTTTTATTGCACGATATAACGGAGATGATCACAACCTGCGGGATAATTACAGTTTTGGTGTTATTTTTTTGTTTTTCATTCCTTATTTTCTGATGATTGTTTTTTTTGCCAACCTGACACGTTCTTTGCTCGGAGGGTGCAGCGAGGTTTTTCTGGATAGAGGTCGTTCAAGTTTCCACAGACAAATCGACCTCCTGTTTTTTTGCAATGGAGTTGGACCATACCATCGTGCATCATCGCGGAAAACACGCATGTGTTCAAAGAAAAACATGTTTTCAACCCAACCTGGTATGTGTTTTATGTTGTGTTTTTGAAAATGTTTCTGAATGGGTTTGCATGAAAGTACTGCACCCAAAAATCCCATTGTTTCAGAAAGTGAGTTCCTGTACTTACTGGTTGCCATAATTATATTATATTGTATGTTGGGGGTAAATCAACAATTTTGGGACAAACCCATTGATCAGGTTGGTGATATGTCCCCATCATATCCCCCGTTTCTGGACAAGACATTATTTAGATCCATACTATTCCCCAAAACTCCCCGCCATGACTCGAGTTTCATCTGGATGTAAGATTCGAAAAACTCAAAAAAAATGAAAACCGTGGAAGATTCAAAATTCAAAAACTCAGGAACTAAAGTTACTGAAGGATTGAAACCCATAGTTGGTTGGTGGTTTCAAACATGTTTTTTTATTTTTCCATATATTGGGAATAATGATCCCAACTGACGAACTCCATCATGTTTCAGAGGGGTAGGTAGGTATACCACCAACCAGTATATATATATATATTTATATTTATATTACCATATATTACCTATTTTGGGATATGTGAAGGGTCTACATAGCTATATGTTTCAGAGGGGTAGGTGGCTCAACCACCAACCAGAAAGGATTGAAACCCAAAGGCTTTGGGATTGGGTATTTCACATGGATCCAGGCACGGCACGGAAAACTCCACAGGTACGGATCGCTTGGCACGTGTCGGTTTCAAGCAACTGGTGCGCAGCGCGCAGTTCCAGGCCGCGGAAAGCGGGTGGGTCCCAAAAGGGGTCCCAAAAGGGCGATGATGGGCGATGGGGGACTGGTGAGTGCTGTATCATAGTTAATAATACATGATAACTGATAGATAGATGTTGACAATGGGATAATCAACATTATTATTATTGTCAACTATCATGACAGATGAAAAATGATAAATAGAATACATTTATAGCTGGCTGGTGGTTTGGAACATTCTTTATTTTCCCATATATTGGGATAATCATCCCAACTGACGAACTCATATTTTTCAGAGGGGTAGGTATACCACCAACCAGCATTTATAGTGCTGATACTGGATAGATGTTGCTCATGGGATCATCATGTTTTGATGATTTGATCATCCCAAGGGATGTTTTTTCTAGTCAAAGATAGTGGATGATCATAGTTTGAGAATGGGATAATCCACGAGTTATAAGAATTGGATAATGACTATTGGATACCATGGGATAATACTGGGATATGACTATTGGATATACTTGTAGACCTGGGGGTCCATCCCACTTAGTTGTTAGTAACTGGGGTTAGTTAACCCGTTTATTTATGGGATACCCCACGCGTGGAGTTACGATCGCCAGGGTCATTAACCACTTACTGTACAAAGGGGATGGCAAGTATTTGTGTGTTGTTTTATTCCGTTTGTTTTTTTCTGAGTTTATGTTTGATTGTTTGGTTGTTTTTGCCTTTTCATTATTTTCTTTTGCTTCTTTTCCTACATGTTTGCTTCTCCACTTCCCTGTTTTGTTTTTTAGTCTTCCCTACTTTTAATTCCTTAACAAATTGTAAAACCCTAAAGCAACCCTTGAAATCTGTGAATCAATCAGACCTAAACCAACCCTAATTATATAAATTTCAATCCAACCTTGCATAGATGAACAATAAACCTTAAACCAACCCCAAACGAGTCCTAAGCCTTGATAAGCTGAAACCCATTCCTCAGCAAACATTATACCAACCCTAAAGGAATGTTCACCCAACGCTAAATAGATTTGAAACCAAGCCCAATGAAACCCTAAACCAGCTTTGAGTACACCTTAAACCAGCCCCAAACAAGTGCTAAACCAGCCCAAAAGAAACGCTAAACCAACCCTAAAGAAACAATAAGCCAACACAAATACACCCTAAACCAGCTTCAAATAAACCTTAAACCAACCCCAAAGAAACAATAAACCAACACGAAATACACCCTAAACCAGACCTAAAGCAACCCTCAACCCATTCCAAATGAAGTTGAAACCTATCCTAAATAAACTAAATCTGCATTCATCCAACCTTAAAAAAGCCCTAAGCCAACGCCATAAACCACCACCAAATAAACACCAAAACAACCCTAAATAAGCCACACCCTAAGCAAACCCTAAGCAAAGCCTTAGTCAATTCCAGACGAACCCTGACTAAACCCAAAACCTTCAATCATCCCGAAATAAATTTACATAAACCCTAAGCCAACTCAAATAAACCCTAAACCATCCCTAAACAAATCCTAAACCAGCCTTGAAAAAACCCTAAACCAACCCGAAATAAACCCTTAACCAAGCCTCAATTATCCTGAGCTTTAATGAAGTTAACCCAGCCCCGAATAAACACTAAACCACTCCTAAGTAAACTCTAATCAACTTTAAACAACCCCCAAATAGACACTAAACCAATCCTAACCAACCCTAAACCAACCCTAAACCAACCCTCACTGAACCCCAAACCACCCCTAGGGTAATTTTGGCCAAATTAATTGAATAAAGCGGAATTTAAGAATCAAAGGGTGCTTAATCATCAACGAATAGTGTTGTGGTCCGAATATGATGAATTGATTGATGAACGTTTGGGGTTTTCAACCTGCCATATATATATATATACACACTTAATATGATTCGAGATTATTGTTATCCATGAATTTGGAGTCCCTACCAACCATTCTTTGGAGAATTGCCCAAAAAGATTTTTGTTTCAGTATGAACATGTGCAGAATACAACTTGTGTATTTATGGGGAAAATATAGTTTCCCACAGATGTTCACATACCCCCCAGTAAACTAGCACAGCTATGCAAAACGGTCCATTTAGAGGTGGTTTGCCTTACGCATGGTGTTTTTTTCATAGCAAAATGGTAATGACCAGAGGGTAACCCACCCCATTGTAGCAGCCATTGGCGGTGTACCCCCAATCCCAAAGAGGCTCACAACAAGAAAATGGAAATATGAAAGTTATGAAAGCCAGACTCATTGGGTGAGATGATAAGCTAATCGGAGTGGCAATTCTACATTCATAGCAGAGAAATCAAATATTTTTTCATCGTCTACATTGTCTACATCAGTGTAAAAAGCAGGGGATACTCAAAAGAATGCAATGGATAATCTATAGCTACCTCGACCGAACTCAAATGATTGTTGATATTGAAGCACGAAACACGTGCCTCTAAATCTACCCTCTGGTTAGTTAACGTAGCTATGGAAAATCACAGTTGTTAATCGAATTTGCTAAATCATCAAAAATCATCTACACATGCGCCATTTGTACCATGGCAAACTGTTAAACGACCAGATAGGATTTGTTAACCACCAATCAGTCTTTGCTGCAGATTTGTCTGATTTTAGACTTCAATTTCACCATTTTTGTTCAATCAAACCCCTCATAATATAACTAGCATTTTCCCTGTATTGCCTACATACATGCATGTTATATATATATACTAGTTGGTGGTTTGGAACATTTTCCATAATATATGGGATAATCCTTCCCATTGACTAATATTTTTCAAGATGGTTGAAACCACCAACCAGTATATATACATATATACATGTATATGTTTTCATATACATTTATATCTTGATGCTAAATGACCATCATGAATCTTCTTGGTCAGCCTTTTTGTTGGCAGTTTTTGGCACTGAGAAACTCACATCGGGGATGGTTATCCATCATCATCCATCCATTTTCATAGGGGTTTCTGTTTATATACCCATTATGGGATGGATGATCAAAAGCCATGAATCATTAGGAAATTATTGGAAATGTACTGCTGAGAATGGAAAAACATAAACCACTTCATTGTTAATTTATAAAAGATGTTTTCACCACTTCATTGTTCATAAATCGCATATTTCCATAGGAAATTCCATGGGAATCTTTTATAATAAAGTGGTTTTAATCATTTATGCCATATTCCTATGCCATAGATGTGCCATATTTCCATAGGAATCCCATCATGACGATGGCACGGACGTGCAGGTCATCCCTGAGTACGGCTTTCGCTGCTCCGACGAAGGCGTCCAGCAGATGTTGCAGGCAGGGAGGTGATATGGGGGACTATGATGGTGAAAATATGGTGAATATATGGTTATTGTATGGTTATTATATAGATCATTAAATATATGGTTGTTATTGAATATATGGTTATACTATGGTTATTAAATATATGGTTAATATAAGGTTAATATATGGTTATTACCCTCTGGTAATTTGTTACATAGCTATTGAAAATGGCCATAGAAATAGTGGATTTACCCATTGAAAATGGTGATTTGCCATAGTTATGTTAGTTTACCAGAGGGTAAATATATAATTAACCATGTAATATATCACCGTGCGAAATGATCCTTAATGGTGATGTATGGTTAATTTGAAGGTATGGTTAATATATGGTTGTTGTATGGTTAATGGTGGGGAATATGTGGAATTCACAAATATATGGTTAATATATTGTTAATATATGGTTGTTGTATTGTTATTATATGGTTAATGATGGTTAATAATAGGTGATCATGGGGTTCCCATACATCTGGGTAAATTATAACAACCTCACTGTTCTCCCTCACTGGTTAGTAATTAAGGGAAATCATCCCCAAATGGCCGCAAGATTCAGGTTAGTGAAATATTATAATTTACCCAGATACATGGGGGTATCCCAATAGCTGGTTTGTACTGGAAAATCTATATATTAATGGATGATTTAGGGGCACCCCCCATTTAGGAAACACTTGTATATATATATATACATATATATGGATTATGGTAATGTGACCGACTGTAATAGGGATAACTAACAGTAATTATTAGGAAACAATGGTTTAATATCATGGACCTAAAATTTGATCAAAATAAGGACGTTGATTGGCCAGATTTTGCTGGGTCGAATACAAGCTATTGCCGAAATAGTAGAAATGGATAGTTTCGACAGCTAAGATGATCCACTCGATGGTTTTAAAATGAAGGAAAACACTGGATCCAGCAACTATCGATTGCTGGATAGTATTGGATGCTTCAAAAAAATGCTTCTGAGATTTTGATGTTGGTTCCTTCCCCCGATCATGACATAAACCACCCCAAACAAACCCCTCGAGGTAACTATGAAAATCATCTACCAGCTGGTGCAGGATTTTGTCCATCCACAGTGTGTTCGATGGAGGGTAAATCATGTAAACGATTTAAAAATTAACCATTTTTCATAGCAAACTCTTAAATTACCAGAAGGTCATCAATCATAATTTGATCAATGTTCATGTTCTTATAGAAACCTATAGCTAATGGCTATAATTTACCATAATTCTTCATGAATTACTCTTTATATCATTTTCAGTTAGCGTTAAAACGCCCAGGTTTCGTATCCCTTTCCTCAAGCTGGCAACCTCACCAGATCACGTCGGCCAGGCGTTTCAAGAGTACAAGGATGATAGCGACATCTTTGTGAACTCCACCATCATCAAAGATGCCTTGCCACTTCGAGTTTCGTTGGGCTATGGAGTCATGGAGCTTGGAGAGTCAGAGAGTCATGGAGTCGAGTCATGGAGAAATGTTTGGTGTATGGAAAGTGGGTTGATCTCTTGGGTTGATATCTGGTACCCTCTGGTAAACTAACATAGCTATGGAAAATCACCATGCTATTAATGGGTAAATCAACTATAAATAGCCATGTTCAATAGCTTTTTGTATGTTTACCAGAGGGTATCTTAGAAAAATGCATGGGAAATGGTCGGTCATCCCATCGTCCTGACGAGGTTCAGTGAGGCTCGCCAGTATCCTGAACTTGCGCAGGACGGAGTTCCCGACAGGTTCACCCCCCATGGGGAAAGTTAGTGTGATTTAACTAGGTCAATCTTAGATGGGTACTTTAATCCTTTAGTCTTTTGGTATCAATGGGAATATCCACTAACCAGCAAAGAATTTGTCATTTTTTGCAGGGTATCTAAGATTGGCAATGTTAATGGGGAACCTTTGGGAACCCAATTTATAGCCCAACATTTCAGGTTAGAGAAATTTTACAATTTACCCAGATACACGGGGGTATCCTAATAGCTGGTTTATAATGGAAAATCCATGATATATTCATGGATGATTTAGGGGTGCCTCCATTTTAGTGTCTTAATATTATACCTCATTTTGGATACCCATTATAATACCCCCATATTATTCCTCCATTATTAGTGCCTGAATATTTAAAAAACAATTATCCCATATTTTGGGGGTACCCCCTGTATTGTTTTTCTTTTCAAAAAAATAGGGATCATGATGAGAATCCATTGGAACTGCGGATGTGTTTCCTCTATGTTCAACCCAGAAATGGTTCTGGATGAATAACACCTCACCATTTTGGAATGATAATTAGTAAGGGGAAATCATCGCCGCAAGTTTCCGCAAGTTTCAGGTGAGTGAATGGTACTTTACCCAGATCAATGGCCATGCTGGCCAGGAACCGATTGATTGGAGGTACCTAGCAGATATAAGGCCGATGTAAGGGCTATGCAAGGGGATATACTCCCTGTACCCCAAAAATTTGGCCCTATATGGTTCCCATGATATATGGGATAATATTTTTCAGAGGGGTAGGTATACCACCAACCAGAAAATGTTATTAACCATCATTAATCATCATCATTAACCATTATTAACAGTATATTAACCATTAGGGTAGGCTTCAACCACCAACCAGATATGGTTTCATAAGCAACGTTTTTTTGGAACACGGCAAACAGGCAGTCCCGCATGGACTACGGGTCCAGCCTACGCCAGGGTGTTTTTTTTATACCCGGCAATCAAACGTGGCGCAGGCTGGAAAATCCAGAAAAAACGAAATGGATGTTTCGTTTGCAAAGAACATCGAACTAAATGATACTGGAGGCTATACAGATATATATATATATACAGTATGTATATATATAACAATGTATACATATATATATATCTGGTTGGTGGTTTGGAACATGGCTTTTATTTTTCCATATCTTGGGAAGAATAATCCCAACTGACGAACGCCATCATTTTTTCAGAGGGGTAGGTATACCACCAACCAGATATATATATATATTATAAATAACTATGTATACAGTATACATATACATATACATATACTAGTGTATACTAATATATAATTGTATATATATAGGAGCTATACAAAATGAAGGTTTGAATGGGACTTCATTCAATGATGGATTTCCGAGCCTGCGCTTTAGGTTTGATGACATCACCTCCCAAGGGCCATGGTGATTTCACCACGGCACCACAGTGCCCCCGTTACGAAATCGCCTTTGTTGGTGCCAATAACTCCGATCCAAGAACTATGGTTTGTTCTATATATTATATATAATTTACATTTACATATATAATTTATATATATATAATTTTTATATGCATATATATATATATATATTATGGCTATGAATCAATACCTATACATACCATTTTAGGGGGATGAACATCCATTTACCAGCTATTTTGACGTTCACCAGGGGTACAAAGTTTTGACCCATCCCCATATATATATATATAATGAGATTTTACAGCAAATTATAACTGGGCACCACCTTGAATGTAATCAATAAAAATTACTTGGATGTGCCTCCCAGCTAGCAGTTTGCAAGCCATAAAAAGTCCAAGCCGTTCATCGAAACTGGAGTATTTACCATTCCATCATCCTTACAAATGGCATATACTCCATACTGCTTAATCCACCTGCCAAATGTTCTATTGTGATAGAAAATTCAGCCAGGACCCCCTGGCTGATGGGACCCCTGGGCAGGAGGATGAGTTTGCTCCCTTAGGCGCGATCTGTGGCAATAAGCCTCAAACTAAGAGCCTTGGTGGAGAAATGTGGAAAATGTGTTCTCGAAATTCCCCATTTATAACCATCCAATGGTTAGTAGACTATCGCGAATGGTTAATTAACTCAATTATTTATAGCCAGTCATGAGTCATCATGATTAACCAGTTAAATATCCAGCGAATTAAATGGAATTTAATCAATTTAACCATTGATATTAGTTACTCAATATAGACTATCATGAATGGTTAATTATATATAAGATGTATACACATATATATATATATTATCATTTATAACCATGATATTTACTAACCAGTCCCATTGAAAATTCACCAGGAAGTTTTTCCTTTCGAAAAAAACGATCTTTGAAGGGGAAGAAAACATGTGGCTCGGTGCATCAGTTAGCCTCTGGTAAACGTTTACAAAAAACCATGGGAAAAATCACCATTTTTTCTGGGAAAATGATGGGAAAACCATGGGAAAATGATGGTTTATATGGAAAGATCCACCATTTTTAAAAGGTAAATCAATTATAACTATGTGCCATTTTCAATAGCTAACTGTAACAAATTACCAGAGGGTACTTCACACTTTTTCACATCCAAAAAAATCCACGGAGACGACTTGATGGGAAAACATCCAACGAAATGGTGGGAGTTTCCAGCACGCCATGTTTGGAACATGCACCACGAAATCACCAAATTGCTACAGGATGGAGCCCCTGGAAACGAGCGAGATCCCGTTCAGCTGCCGAACAGAAAAGCGGCTGAGAAAAAACTATGGTTTATGGTAGATAGAACGAAGTAGTTAATGGGGGTTAAAATGGCTTATAAACCAACTTATAACTGGAGGGGCCATCCTGTAGAAATCTGACTGGGTTTTTTTAACACAAAGACAGTACTTTTTGCGAAGCTCTCGACTTTGATTCCACATCGGGGGACGCAAGGATGCTGACAAACACACTGTCTCCTGTGCTCGCAATTGTGCGATCCATTTTTCTGGAATACAACGAAGAGGTGGCCAAGCATTGCTGTACACGCCATGAAGACATTTTGCCTTCTGTCAGATATCTGGACATACGATTTGTGACTGATTTTGACCAGAAAAGCCTTCGTCTCGATCCTGGCAGTAGAATGCGTCTGCTAACTTGCTCCCAAGAGAAGCTTTCTGACGCTGCCCGAGCTATAGCAGCTGCTGATTGTCGACAGTTCACGGAATTCGCCATGACGCGAATCGATTTTTTGGCGAGAACCATTGTCCGTGCTGAGTGTCTGCTGAAGATGGGGGCCCACTGGTTCAACAAATTTACTTTTGAGAAGGAAACTTAGGATTTACCATGATTTACCGATCTGAAAAATGAACCAATTGAGCATCCATTTGCAGGATGGGCTCCCCCAGTTATAAGTTGGTTTATAACTCCCATTAAGTATAGTTATCTAGTTCGTTATATCTACCATAAACCATAGAATCACAGAATTCAGCCACAGCCATATCTCAACTGAACGCTATCGCTCGTTTCCGGGGGCCCCATACTTTTTCTAGATACACAGATGTACTATGCAATACCATACTAATCCTGGTTCAATTTTTTACATACTATATCACCATTTTAACCCCCATGAAAACTAGAGTTAACTGAAGTTAGCATTCACATTCGTATATCACCACTATAGTTATAGTTGTAGCTACAGTTATACACAGATGACAACTATAGTATTCACCATATAATTATAATATAGTAAGGTATTCACCATATATCACCATACCCCCATACTATATCACCATATTAGCAGCTCCATGTTTTCGTCTGGAAATTTCATGGCCACGTCTCCGATTCGAGGATCGGCATCTTGGAGTTTCTTCACAATCTCTACGTGCGTTACGCGGATCCTGCATTCCAGGCCCGAAAAGTGGGCTGCTGGGTGTGGACTTTAACAACACAAACGGATGTTTCCTATCCCATAGGATCCATGTATGCTATATATGGTAACATGGATCCCATCAATGTACCCCAAATGTTAGCATATATACCAGCACCATGGATCCAAATCATCAGTTCAAAAAAATGGCCCCCGCCATTTCCGGAGACCTCCGGAACCTCCTGTGGGCCAGGGCCGGGCCGCGAAATCCGATGGTTAGCACCACCGATGGTTTGGTTCGCCAAAGAAAGTAAGGGGATGAACTAAGCACCTATCAACTGGTGGATTTCGAAAAACCTTAGTGTGTCCCATGAAATGGTCGAAATTGGCAATCCCCCATGTTCAGAGACCATGTAGACCATGTTAGATTTGGACCATCGACCCAAAAGATAGCGGCAGAATTGCCATGGCTCATTTCTTTGGATTAAATCATCCTATTTGCTCCCCAGAAATAAAATCCTATACGTCCAGCTAAACTATAGAAAAAGCCTAAGAAAAGATAGAAAAGTAAAGTCCTAAGCCCCTAAAAGATGGAAATGTAAGATCCTACTAAACGAGTGATCAATGATGATCAATAACTGTTCTATCTTTTTTTGTTAGGTTGCCATAAGGTAAAACCAAAAATCTCCACGCCAGGACGAGATTGAGTTGCTCAAGCGTGAGGCTTACGGTGGTTGGTGCAGTTGAGATTACCCCTGATTTTATTGATATAACTAAGGGGTGCAACTATGGGATACGAAGGGTTATGAATGATTGTTAGTGGTTGTTCATGGTTTATTAATGGTTTATTAATGCTTATTAAGGGTTAATTAAGGGTTATTCAAGTGTGTAACAGGATTTAAAACTTCCGTAAATTGGGATAGAACCCCTACAGCTATGGTTATATAGCCACTTATTAGTCGAACTCCGCCCCCAAGTAGGGTTGTTGGATATATATTTTTTGGGCTAATGTGACAAACCCAATGCCATAAACCGTCCGCTTAACCAACCGTGACTGGGGCTCATTTTACATCATCCCAAATCTTGGTTTAATACCCCATGATTCATGGGTCATTAAATGTCCCCATGGGTCACATCACCCAACCATGATCGGTATAAGGTGTCTACTAGATGGCTACTATTTCAGGTGATGTCCAATATTCCCAAAATGGGACAGTTACCAACCCCTGTGATTTGACCTCTATTGGGGATGCTTTAGCATTGAACCCATTCACAAATGCTTGAACTCTTTGGCCGACTGGTTCTTGGATATCTGCAAGATATGCCCGATGCGAATGCCCGTTGACAAGTGGACAACAGCTTGTATAATATTGAGCATCATCAACCATTAGTAAGCATTAATGTGTTTTTTCTCCAACAATAAACCATCCCCAATTGAAAACAAAAACAAAACTGGTGCCATGGGGTACATAGGTCTCTCCACAAAAAATGCTAGTCCCAAGTTATGGCAAATCGAATCCGGAAAATGAGCAAGTTGAACCACGGTAAGATGGTTGGTGTTAAACCCATTGGGTAACCCCATTGGGTAACACCAACCATTGTTAACCCCATTGGGTTACCCATTGGGAACTTTCTGTTTCTGTTGATGAACCTGGGAAAGTGTTCCCAACACGTTCAGATCACCTGGAGATCTGCGAGATCTGCTTCTAAAGGCCGAAAAAAGGGGGGATAAATCCATCCTGGTGCGTCATCACTTGCCATGTTTGGGTTTATTACCCAAAAAATGGGAAAGCTCTAAACAGATCCAATAGATATGCATATATCATATACATGTTGCATATACTTACATATACTATATCCCTCGCACGAGGCAGACCAGCGAGCTGGGCGTGTCTTGGTGCGTGGCCACGTGGCGAGCAAACCTATGGTGGCCGTTGGGATTTTAGGGTACCACAGAAGGATATCCCGTAACAGGGATACAGGGGCTTTGTCATTTGCCCTTCGGTAATTTGTAACATAGCTATTGAAAATGACCATAGAAATTGTGGATTTACCCATTGAAAATGGTGGATCTTTCCATAGTTATGTAAACGTTTATCATTTATAGTATATTATTTTTGGTTTTTATTGGGATTTAACTGGATTTATCTGATGAGTTTTTATGGTTGGTCAATAACTCCAACACCTATGTTTCAAAAAGTGATAAATATGGGACTACTGTTATAAGGTTGTGAATCTCATGAGTTAGTAGGGATAAAACTGAAGCAAAATGGAGATCTGATCGCAATTTGATGTTTATTTGGAGGCTTCGAACATCACTTGAAAAAGCCGTATCTGTTGGAGGTGACATATCGTCTTTTTTGTTCGGTGATGTGAAAAGTTCAACAGGTACCAACCCCAGTATCATGAGATTTCAAGCATTTCTCGTGCCAAAGCTGCCCCCAATACATGGCCAACAGGCGCCCTGAAACTTTGCCACTTGTGTTGGGGGGCCACGTTTGGAAGGGTTGGTGGAATGCCTTTGAGGACAACCTAGTTTGAAGGCCTGGCACAGGGGCAAGATCCCAACTGCCTGCACATTGCAGGCTTCTATTTTGTGCGGTGCCGTCGAGACGGGCTGTCTACCACTGGTGCAAACACTGCTGAAGGGTCCCAATCTTGTGCCTCCTCGCCGCAACGGCCCGTTGCAAACAGCGGTTCTGGCAGCCCTTCTAGATTTCGGTGCAGATCCCAACTTGGTCAATGGGAATGGCGACTCGCCTTTGCATCTGGCTGTCATGCATGCGGAAGGCGTTTTTTGCTGGTGGGTGCAGGAAATCATGACTGCCTTTTTTTATTTTTGGAAGCTTCTGTGGGTCAAGGCGCCTGTGTGTACAATTGACTGCATAAAGGATTCAGTGCACAAAGCTTTGTGTGTATACAAGCTGCTCTGTGAAACAGCTTCCCCGCGCAAAAGCTTCTCTGTGAAAAAGAATTCTCCGTGAGATGACATGAGCTACAAACTAACGAGCCAGGAGGGGCAGTGCTACATCATCTCCGGAGGTCGCAACTATGTAGGGCCTGTCGCTGCTTGGCGCAACCCTTGCATACTACCCACCAACATCGGGATGTTCGAGGCCATCCCTTGGCCCGAGCATCTGTGGGCAAAACCGGACGATGTCATGATGTTCGCTGCGAAAGGCAGGGACCGGTCGGAAGTCGGAAGGCATCACGTTTGAGGAGCTTGGGCCATCCTCTGCTCTAACCAAAGGAACTTTAGATATCAATACTTCCGCATTACGGACCTTTGGAAGTCACAGCAACGGATGTCACAGCAATGGATGTCACACCAATGGATGTCACAAGGGATGTCACAGGAAAGGACGTCACATCAGTGATTGCCACGGCAACGGATGTAACAGCAATGTACTACACTACACTAATTACATTGCAGCACACTACAACTACAAATACAAGTACAACTACAACCACACTACATTACACAACACTACACTACACTGATTACATTGCATTACACTACAACTGCAGCTGCAACTACAACTACAACTACCACTACATTACACTACGCTACACATACTACAATACGCTACACTACGCTACACTCATTACGCTGCACTACCCTACAACTACAACTACACTACCTTACACTAGACACACTCCACTATACCACACTACACTACACAACACTACACAACATTACATTGCACTACACTACGCTAATTACACCACACCACGGCTACAACTGCAACTGCACTTGCCAATAAATTAATTACACTACATAACAGCTACAGCTCCACTACACTACACTGCACTACAACTACAGCTACAACTGCAACTACAACTGCGCTACTCCACACTACATCCAGCAGTTGTGGTAAGGTGACCACTGCAACCATTGCAACCATTCCAAAAAACACAACTCCAACCACCTGTCGGTCCATCAGTGGATTCGCTCTGCCATCTGTGATTCACAACAACCAACCTCTCCTATAGGTTTCCCATTTTTTAAACTTCCGCCACCGCCTTGTGCCATACTACTATTATTGCTAGTTGCACTGAATTTGAGTCGTGTGCCCAAAAAAAAACGCAAAAAAAGGCCCAAGTCTGGCACATTTTCCAAGTATGACATTTGAGATTAACGGAAAATTGGACATGTGAAGAACAATTGCACATTTTCACTTTGTTTGCTCGCAAACAGCAATGCCATGGATGCTATCGACCTGGCTATTCGTCTCTCGCTCACCTGCGTATACCTTCTGAGTAGCTGCAAACATTGCTGTGCACTTCACCTTGATCCATTTGATTTCATTCAATGAACCTTGGCTCCGCTTTGGCGTGCTACTTGGTTGGGGGAGGTTTTGGGTTGGGGGGCTCCGGGGGGCAATAACGTTCTTGCTTTTGCTTTTCGAAAGTTACGCTTTTGCAGCTTCATGTACTTTAGAAGACGCTCTTGACGTTACGTTCTTGCAACTTCATGTAACGCGGAAGACGCTCTTCATGCTATGGTCTCGCAACGTTCAAGTCCACTCACAGCTCAAGTGGATACCTTGCAAGCCATAGAGTTGCAAAGACATCCTGGTCTGGATAACGCCTTGATGTGTCCCTCGATGCTGCGAAGCAGCCGAGCAGGCAAAGTTGCCCATGCTCCAAAGAACTTTCTCGACTTGTCAAAGGACTAGTCATGGCTGCATGATCCTCAACTATAAAGCAGATGGCATATGAAAAGAGATTGAGCACTGCGTGAAATCCATGTCGCATTACTTTCAGATCATCCCGCTGAAATACTACATGTTCCTACCCCTCATAACTGCATCCTCTATTTCCAAACATCCCTTGAAAAAAAGAACTTATGACCAACTTCTTAGTCCCTTCGCCCTATTACTAAACGGTCTCCCCCAAATAATAAACACTTGGTGCAGTTTATTTAATTTTTAGGGTGCGAAGCTTCCCCGTAATACTAAATTAAAAACCCTAATATAAAAAAAAACGTTGTTTTCCTAGTACAAAATCGATTAGGTTTATCTTTTAAAACCTAATTAAAATATTGCCAAAAAATCGGATTTCGAAGCCGTCCCCCTAATACTAAATTAAAACCATAATATAAAAAACTATTTTTCTTTTTCAAAATCGATTAGATTTCCTTTGAAAATCTAACTGCAATATTGCCAAAAATTGGATTTCGAAGCTTTCCCCTACTAGTAACTTAAAAACCTTAATGCAAAATACTGTTTGTTCGACCTTAAAAGACGGACCCTAATAAAAAAATGCCCCGGGGCTGACTAGTTTTTATTATTAGGGGGTGAACCCTGAAATGGGACCTTCATGTTTAGTTTGTTTTCGAAAGGAGATCAAATAAAAATCAAATTGGCCAGTCTGAAATTTCCCAAAATTTAACGCGGGCCCTAGTTTTTAGTATTTGGGGTACGTTTAGTAAAAGGAGGTGGGGATTAATCAATCACGTATTCAACCATAGACCACGGCGCGGGAACTCAGTGATGGTGAAGCTGGTGATGATAATACTAGTAATAATAACGATGATGACAATGATGATGACAATGATGATGATGATGATGATGATGATGACGATGATGATGATGATGATGATGACGGCTCTGTTGATGATGTGCTCGGATGGCGTCGTACCCCGACGTCCGAGCGTTGTTGTTTATTGTCCGCCGGTGCCGATCCGTTGCTGCTCAATGGTGACAGCCAGAGCGCTTTCTTCTATTATGCAGCGTCAGGGCTACTTGTCACCATGCGCATATGTCACTGCATAGATCGCGTGACGCCAGTGGATTTGATTGCGCGGCATTTGCCCATCATTGTGCAGTACTGTCCTGCAAGAGCTTATGGCCAGTCTCCAAATTCTTCGCGCATCAGTAAAAATATTCGGATGCACTGGGTGGAGGGCTTGTCGTGCTGCAGTCTGCTGTCACTGGAGAAGAATTTCTGCGCTTGCCGTTTTCAGAGCTTGGAACTGGTCTGCAATTCAAGCACATACATTTTCGATAAACCATGTTTTGACGCTGGAACATACCTGCATCTTCCTAAGTGCCAATATTTCTTTCTTTTCAGCGGGAACTGCTTTTTCAGAATAGGAGCACTTGTTGAAAAAAAGGACACTTTTGATTTTCTGCGTGGTTTGTTTGTCAGAAGTTCCAAGGGTCCCACCTTCGCATCGCTTCTTTTTCTTCCAACTAATTACACCAGGCAGAGACGGTGAGATCTGACAAGCACATTCTGGCAAGACCCAAGTTACTCTGCAAATCAAATGTTTCCTCACATGCAAGATGTTTTGTGAAAGGGCTACAAGTTTATCTAGCTTCCTGGTGGGAGTGGCAGCGCCTGGTTTCACCCAGAGGTCACCGTTGATGTTGGACAGAAGTATAGATGCCAAAATAATATTGATCACAGAAACATGTTTGATTAAGCAAAAATTGAAGTCTTGATGCGGGTGTTTGATTTTGTGGAATGACTAACCTCACGTTTGTGAGCCAGCGCAACGTGTTTCAATACCTTTGCTTCCTCTCAAACTTATGCTTGCAACATTCAGGAAAGGGCCTATCACAGCTATCATGTCTGAGGCATGACCTACCTGAAAAAAAATGTTTCATGTGCAAGGGCACTGTAATTTCGGAAAAACAGAAAATTATGTTTTTTCAGATAGGGACATCAAGTTTAGCACTTAGGAAGGCGCAGGTAGATAAGTATCCCATCCCTATTCCATCAATATACTAATTCTTGTTTGGTTCGTACCCCTATGATACGCCCGGATCTTCAATAACGTCCCCCTTCATCGATATAGATGTTTTCATGTTGGTTTATAAACCCATGAACTAGTTCGATATGTCGCTCATGGCCATAAATCATAATTATTGGGCCTTTATCAACCAACTTAGCTAACAAACTGGGGCGCCACCAACCGCAGCATTCGAACAGCATCCACCCCTCGCATCCTATTCACTGAGGCTTTGTTGAGCCTAGCGTGACAGAAGACCCAGATGGATACTATCATTTGTCCCTCAGCTAAGACATTTAGAGGCGTGTCTCAAAATGTTGGTAATGTACCTTCAAACTGTGGTTTTGTCCAGGAACAGTTTTCTCTCAATATTTTAGGCAAGTTTTGGGGCGAAAAATGATGTTCAAATTCTTCGTCAGGGGATGCTCATGGAGATTCTCGCGGATTGCTCATGGATCTTCATGGTTTTTGATGGATTTTCCCGGAGATTTTGATGGATTGGATGGAACCCCTTGAGTTCCCAGCTTCGGCCTTCACCTGGCTAGGATTGCGGTTCCAGGTGCCTTACTTATTCAGCCAGGGTACTGCACCTTTAAATCCACTGCTTATCCATCATTTTCTCGTAGCCATTTGGGATATAGCCCAGTGCCAGGCACATCCCCAGGTTGGTTTTGTCGAGTTTCATGTTTTCATAGGTTTCCCAAAAAGAACCATGCTTCCGGTGATCAGCAACACTTTGCGACATGGAAAACCACCACGTTCAGCAGGTTTACTCATCTAGAAATGAGCAATTTTCTGTGTCTTAAATTACCAGAGGGTATATTTTCATATATTTTCCAGTCGAAAGGTGGGTCGGAAGATTGCCACTCGCCGGTTGGCCTCACTATGATGGTCAGGATTTGGTGGAGTCCATGGCCAATATTCCAATTTATGGATTGTCCCATAGTTAGTATCTGGTGGTAAATCCCATGTAGGATTCGTGGGTTATAAGTTATAACCGGCAAATCTAACTCGCGTTTTTGCCCTACAAGCAAGATGGGAAGGAACGACCAGTCGTTGGACTTAAGGACTCAGGACTGGGGTGATTACTTGTTCGTTTATAAGCCCCATGTTTGTTGGCAGATGGGGTACTGTATACAATGTGCACATACCCTCCAAACTTCTCCAAATAGGCTTGCGAGTATAATACCTCATTCCATCCCATGGTCTAGAAACTGTTGAATGTCACATTTTGAATCGCCAGAATATCTCATTGGAATATCCCTAACTTGCAAAATAATCCATTACAGTATGTGCCTGTTCTGCTTCATGCTGGCTGCCTATATATCCCTTAGGTTCCTTAGATCCCCATCAAGCCCCCTGAAATTGTTGATCAGTTGCTAGTCTCGATGCTTAAGCCCTTATGTCAAGCCACTTAAATTCCAATTTTGGTTGCTTAAAACCTGAAACCAGATGTGAGAAAAATTCATTTTGGTTACTTAGAATCAACCAGTTTAGAAAAACTCCCAGGGACTCGCGTCGTGGGCTGGGCCCAGGCCTGGACGTCAGGAATTGGCCTTGGAGATTCAACAAGTTCCTGAGCGAAGCAAACTCTGGGGGCGTGTGGGGGATGGTATCCTGGATACGTGGCTAAACAATGGGATGCATCAGATATGCCGAAGTCTGCTCGAGGAATAAGAAGATCCAAGCCCATGGCCCCAGGCCGTTAAGAGATGCAGACTTCCACCCTCACAATATTGGGATCATTATGATCATATGTGAACCTACTGATAGTTTAATAGTTGGTTTAATGATGGCGATCTTTGTGGGATACTGGCATATATTACCAGAAATAACGGGAATCTAAAACGGCATATTACTAATAGACGGTTGACATATGACTACTTTATGGCTCATACTGGCAATAATGTGGTAATTCTATCGTATATCGACGGACAATGATGTTAATATATACTCTATGGGGATACCCATGATAGTATTCATTAAAAGTTGGGAATCTATACGGAAACCATAGGGAATCTACAGGGCATAGTCAAAATAATGTGAATTTGGGATAATAAATCAACAAATACATAAATGACTTTAAATACACAGGTATATCCACCATTACCCCACTACATGGGTTAATACATGGCTAATGATGAATACAGGTATAATAGGCTACTAGTATGGCTAATGAGACTGTTTTCCCTGGCTTTGTTCCAAAGTGCATGACCGCCCTGCCGCAAATGCTTGCGCTCTAGCTCGCGTGAATACGTGAAACGCCCCATGCTGGCCTGCAACGAGCCCCAGTTGCTGGAACCAAGCCGCCACTATTACTGGTCGAATGAACATGGCGAAGCTGAGATGCCTTGGGTCATCCCGCACGGATCCGCACGGCACTGACGACGACCCGTTGTACCATCACAGGTGTGATGAGTACTCGCAATTTCCGGCGCTCAACATCTCCCCGCTTGACTGCAAGCCTCGAAAAGAAATCTTGGACATTTTTGAAGGCAAACGATCGCTTGTGCACATTGCCACGCATTGCGATCTGCATGGAAGCGACGGCGACCAATTTTATCGTCATCTTCCACATGCTGGGATAGAAGCAAATCCCCCTTAACAATAAGCAAAAAGTAAATTCCTAAAAGGTGGGACTTTGAAATGTCGATTTTTAAACAGCAGGTAATAACTAACCGGCAGCTCGAGAGCTAGTGACTAGTGAATATCCTTTAGAATAATGAAGGTTCACTTGTCTCTTTTCGGGGGGATACTATTTAGGGATAAACGGGGATATACTTTCTTAAGCAACGTAATTTGACCAACAACATTCGGGATTGAATCTGATTAAGTGGATTAATCACTGTATTCGTATATAGTACCAGAAAGTGCCCGTGCCTGCAAGGGCAAAAGTTTCGATTTTTTTATGGTTTGAGAAATCAATGGTCTATAGGAGAGTTTTTGAGATGCAGGAGCACGGAAGTGTTGAAGATGTGAGGTGCATCAACAAATGAGGAAAGGTGGTTGAGACGCCAATGAAATGACATGTAAAAATCCATGCATTGCGGACTGAATGATCCCATGAACCAATAGTCGAAGAATCAACAAGTTGATGAATCAATGAGTCAACGAATCAACTAATCAAATGAATCAGTGACTCAATGAAGTAACAAAGCAATGAATCAATGAGTCCAGGAATGAGTGAAATAGTGAGTCGATGAACGGATCAGTCAGTGATTTAATCAACCGATGAATCACTGAATCAATGAACGAAAGAATCAGTGAACCCATGAATCAATGAGTCAATGAACGGGCGGATGGATTAATGAAAAGTTAGCTACTTCGTTGTTTAGCTAATTCTTCACTGAGGCACTTCTTCGGTGAGGTACCTCGTCTCTCAGCTACTTCTTCTCTGAGCAGCCTCTTATCTGGGCTACTTCTCTAATCAGCTACCTCTTCTGTAGCTTCTGCAACCCAAGTCTTCTCTTCGCACAGATGTTGCAAAGCATGTAGGAATTTCCAGCGGAAGTCCCGCATGGCACAAAAGTGGCACTGTGCTCAGAAACTACCTCTCCCGCAGCTGTTACAATACGTTTGGAAACTTCCAGCTGCAATCAATCCCGCAAAGCAGCAGCGTCGCAACTTCATTCATGCTTTGCTGCACGCAGCCAATGCGTTTTGTCACAGCCAGTTGCAAACCTGCGTAGCACTGGCATCACACCAAATCGACCAACTTTCGCTTAGGGCTGACATTGGAACGACTGTGCAAATCGAGCTCTCGTGCACTTTTTTCCGACCTCAATTTCCACAGGTGCTCCGACTGTGACTTTTTTTAAACATTTTGAAGTGCAAATCGAGCTCTGGCTACAGTCTCCTGCACTTTTTGCCAACAGCTTTCCCAGATCGAGGCTAGAAACCGCAGAACACAAACCCTATTTCGCGACCCCAGGCGCCAGAATACCCAAAAAAAACAGGGGGGTTAACGCCCGACTGTGTTTTTTCACCCTACGCTCGACAGTGCTTTTCACGCCCGACTGCTTGATGATGGGGCTGACATGATGTTGTGGTTGACATGATGATGTGTTTAGCATGATGGTGTGAATGCTAACCATGACCGTCATCCGTAGCTCGGAAGTTTGCGAACTAAGCTTTCTTTGGTCAGTGTTGAGATAAAATGGTGATATAACACATACTATTTATATATATATATGCGTGTGTGTGTTTTCTTTTTTGTTTTGCATTTATTTGTTTATTTCTTTAATTAATGTGTATATATATATATTTGTTTTCATGCATTTACTCATATTTATGTTTTTTGGTTTGTTTTTACTTTTTTATTATGTGTTTAACTGATTCATTCGTCTATTGTTGATTTTTCATTATTTTTAGTTACTTTTATTACTATGTTTTGTATATATATATGTGTATAGCCAGCAAAGATATATGTGTGTTTGCTGATTGGTTTCTCAATGGGGATTGAATCATGATTTAAAGGTGTTTGATCCCCCGAAAAGGTGCTATAACAGCTAATTAGCGATAGTGTTGTGGATCAGATGGGTGCAAATTCAAATATTCAACCAGCAGTCGGTAACAATATCCTCAGGCAATCAAACGTGGTAATTGGAAATACCCCATGGAGGTGTTAATCGGAAAATCTTCTATGGATATGTGTTTTTCCATTGCCGGAGGGTATCTCTATCTGTAAATAGTCGACGTTAGGTGGCAAGATAAACTAAGGTTAGAAAAAATGCCATAAGCAACCCATATTTTGATGATTTATAAATTGGGTGGGTTTACCATGTTTTGCCAACATTATACTGGAATATAACCAAAAGAAGTAGAGAAAAATATTTGGAATATGTGATATTTATGAAGGGTTTTAGCCACAATAATAGGATCCATCATGGACATATAATCGGTTGTTTGTCCAATAATTCCCTGAATAGGAAAATCATCATAAACATATCCATTGTGCGAAAATCTCCTTTTGTTCATGGGACAATCCTTCATTTGTCCATAGTGGTGCCCCCCCCAGTGATGTCTGTTGGTTTATCAACCATAGTAAGTAGTTAGATATATCTACCATAAACCATAGTTATTAGATATATCGACCATAAACCACAGTTATTGGAGCTACTGGCACCAAGTTAGCCGTACGGGGCACCACCTGGTTCATGGATCATCAAAACGCCAGCGTTCGCCAAGCCTTAGGAAGTGCTGCCTGTGTTCGGCTTCGAAGGAAACCGCAAAGGCCTGGTGGTGTTTGGCCATGTCACATTCATGTGGGAAACATAGCTATTGAACATGGTCATCTATGGTTGATCTACCCATTAAACATTGCGATTTTCCATAGTTATGTTAATTTACCAGAGGGTAATATGTGGGAAAAACAATGCCATGTTTACCACCCATGACTGGGAATGGTAAACATACCACCTATGAAAATGGTGATGACTAGGGGATGGTTTATGAAACTGTTTTAACCCCAAAAAGATGAAAATTACGTTGTGAAATTTTATAGTTGCAAAATGGAGATATATACTAAAAATAAAGGTTATAAAAGGCAACCATTTATGGTCCAGCAACAACTGTTGGAGTTTGTTTTGAAATTCTGAACCTGCCTTCCAGTTTCTCTGAAAGAAAGCATACGAGAATTGAGATACTGTGAAGAAGTAACCGAAAAAAAAAGGAGATCGTTGTTTTTAGTTTTTCATCGTGACATGGACATGCAAAAATCCGTTGTCCCTCTTGATGCACTGTTTCTAATTTCAAACAATTTTGAACCTAAACCAAAGAGCAAGGTAGAGCCAATCACGAGTTTCATACTAAAGCGGCTATGGCTAGAAAAGAACGACACCAAGTTCTGCACCAGTTGGTTGATGATGAACATCCGGTTGAAATCAACTCGAAATACTTCATATAGCTCCAATATTTTAATTGAAATAAACATATTGGGAGTTTCATATTTGATCAACATCCCGTTGAAATTTTATTTCTTACAGTTTCATCAAACTCCCAATGAAACTCCCAACCGCCCAGTGCCAGGCGTGCGCGAGATGATCCGCTACTGTGCACCATATCTCGATGTGCCACGGCCAAAACCAACGAACGGCCGTTCGTTCAACAGGGTGAAACGGAGGGAATCCGGGCGGAATCCTCGAAAAAATGTTTCATTTACCCTCTGGTAAACAAACATAGCTATTGAAAATGGCCATTTATAGTTGATCTACCCATTAAAAATTGTGATTTTCCATAGTTATGTTAGTTTACCAGAGGGTATGGCTGATTTGAGGTTGATTGACGCTTGCGTTTATGGGTGAATTATATGGATTGATGGATGCGAAGTTGGCAAAATCCGCCTAGGTTAAACCTCGGGGTTAGATTGGAATTGTATTTCGATGGATAGAGTCACTCACATTTCACCGTTGGGTTTACGGTAGATACATCTTAAACTCGCCATGGATGTTAATGGGGGGTTATAAACTGACGAACATAACCGAAGGACACCACCTCTGTCAAGACTTTGCCATTAAGAATTGGGGTTCTCTTAAAGGGTTACCATCATTTTCCGAAAAAATAGAAAAGGATGATATCTTTAAATCAGTCTCAAAAGTTGATCATCGTCTTTTATCACCCTCCCTAAAATTGGATAAAATTGGTGGTACAGTATCTCCCCTTTTTCAAAAAGCAGGAAGGCATCCAATGAGGTCTCTCCTTGCTTGGATGTGCATCTCAGTTATATGGTAGTTGCTTTACCCCTTAATCGAACTTTGTATATCCCATATCTAACTGGGGTAGAATACTGCATGGTAAATCCGGCTAAAAAATCCAATCGTAAATAGGATATGTCCAGTTATTTAACTCTTATATGTGTACAGATATGTTAACATATATATATATATATATATGTGTGTGTTAGTTTTATATGGGATATTTCTCCGTGTTTATAAATGGAACTGCACTCCCAATCCTGGCATCAAAAGTGGCTGGAAAGTAGCCCCAGGTTTTTTCTTTGGCTTTCTCTGAAAATAGGGCGGTCCCCGGCTGTCCAATCGATTCTCATCATCTTCCCGGTGGTTGCTTCCACGGATGGTAGGTTAGTTCACCCCAGTTTTTTGAGCTGACTAAGCCTACTTATCCCAGTTAATGATGGCTGATAATGGATTATAATGGATAATAATACTGGATTTGACATTATATAACTATAACTGGTTGGTGGTTTGGAACATGGTTTTTCCATTTTTGGGGTGATAATCCCAACTGACTCATATTTTTCAGAAGGATAGGGCTCAACCACCAACCAGTACCACATTTGGAACCAGGGAAATAACCTACTTCGGATTCGTGGCTTGTGAGCCACCAAGTATCCCCCATGCCGATGTTCCCTGGTGGCTATGCCCTATTGAGAAACCCAGATGAATTCCCATTGAAAACCTGCATTCTGTGGGCTTCCCAGATTACCACGTTTGATTACCAGAGGGTATACATCCCATTGTTTCGGCATAATTCTTAGACGAACACATGGAAAACCCACCAGACATGTAGATCATTGTCGGATAGTGAAACAACCATGGATTTCCATATGTCCAGAAATGGGCGACACCCCCCATCTTCAAAACTTGTTTGAAGATGTCAGAAACCTGTGATTTTCGGGGATTATTTTTTTCAGAATCCACATTGGCACAGCCACCCTTAAAGGTGGCTCCCACCAACCAATAGATGGTTAAGATTTCGCCACTATTTCGGGGTTCACCGGTGTACTATATGGTCTTATTCCATGATATGTCCATTCTATCCCAAATATTCTCGAGATGATACTCGCATTTAAGCAATAACTATTTGTTATAAGTATAAACTTAATCCTAAGTAATTCGTCAATGCTATATATTATTTAGGTATAATACTAGTTATTCATGACCTATTATTCATATGGTGATATTCATGGTGATTTATTCAGGTGATGACGAATCATGGTGCCCCCCTCAGTGGATGGTTCATTCCATGGATCTTAGCTTAGTTCACCCCAGGTCGATTAAGCCTATCCCATAAAAAGAACCAGGGTGAACTAACCTAGTAAGTGGGATGAGCCACCAAGCGTATAAATAGTGGGAAGATTCCCAGTTATGTGGGTTATGTGGGGTTAATCCCCCAAAAAAACTGGTGTTATAACCTACTTAGGATTCGTGAGATGAGCCACCAAGTATAGATATAGCTACCATAAACCATAGAATTGAACGATCAGCGAATAAACAAACTTGGCTACCCTCCGGAAATCAAACGGGCTTTTTTCCCCATTTAGTTCAATGATTTTCGCAGCGAACTAAACCTCCATTTAGTTGGCTAACTATGGTTAATATTATATAATTATCACCGATCACCTATAAATTACCTCACGTAAATCACTGGTAGATTTTCCTATAAGTTCCAAAAAATCACAATCCCATGTGTCTTTCGGTTCCCCGGTGATTTTTTCCACCTTTTTTTGTCGACGTTCGTCCAAGGACTTGGAGGTGCAGAAGAAGTTCGATGCAATCAACCTGCCACTTGAGCTCAAAATATCCTGATAAACAGAGTTCTAGTAGCGTTCTGGACTAGTAGGGAATTGGGGATTATGAACTAACTGGAGCTAATTGGGGATTATGAACTAATAAGTAGGGAAAGCGTTTTCAACCCACGGATTGCTTGGGTTTTTTGTTGCTTATTTCTAATGGGGATCTAAGTATCCAATGTCGGGTGTTTTTTCAGCCACAATTAAATCTCGTGAACGATAAATGATGTTTGATTGGTTATGGAATTATATATACTACCTAGCAAAATATGGGGTTATGAACTTAGGATTGGGAAAGCGTGTTCAAGTTTTTTTTGTATTTCGCTGGGATAGGGGTATTCTTAATTGCTCACTTGGAATGCTGCAATTGTACCCAAATGCTGATATACATTTATATTTGGGTATACAATCACCTGAAAATATTGAGTGATATAACTCGATGTTACCAAGACATGCTAGTTGCTGACCCAAATTTTGAACGGAGCAGCAGGAACTTGGCTGTCTTCACAGGGGAATCCGGAGATGGCCAAGAAAATCCCAGAGAGTTCATGGCAGAAACCATAGTTCAACAAGATCCAAATTACCCTCTGGTAAACTAACAGTTTGCTACTGAAAATTGCCATTTATACTTGATTTACCCATTAAAAATTGTGATTTTTCCATAGTTATGTAAACGTTTACCAGAGTGTATATCAAATTATGCTGTTTCTCCGGATGATACTGTGGATGGTTGCGAAATCCTGCACCAGTTAATAGGTGGCAAACATCCCATTATTTATAGGCTTTCAACCATCCTTTTGATGATGCAGGATTTCTTCCATTCACAGTATGGAATATCACGGGATATACCCTCTGGTAAATTAACATAACTACTGAAAATCACCACTTTCAGTAGGTAAATCATCTATAAATGGTACATTTTCCAGTTCGCAAACTGTAAACGTTAACTGGAGGGTATAACAAGACTAACAATACCATGGGGATTCAACCAGATCAATGATATGATCTGCGGAGGATCTTTAACCTGGGGGATGCCGTTAGAGAGTTACCCTCTGGTATCAAGCATGGCTAGAAAAAACCGCACGATTCGTGGAGGTTTCATCCGAGATGTCCTTGTAAATGGAGGTTTTTTAACGCTGGCGAAATAGCTGACGAAATCGAACTATAGCTGGCTTATAGCTGGGAAATCATCAAACTATAGCTGGAGGATTTTCCAGCAATGTTTGATGACACCAGAGTGTAGTCTGATGGGGAATATTCATGGTTGTAATTCACCCCCATAAGTCGAGATGTAACCCCCATAGTTATGACCATAGGCCCATGCAACTCAAGATAATCAAGTGGAACTGCCGCAAGCAATTGCACTCATGCATACTATCCCTGTTCTGAATCCACCATGACTGGGGAATGTATAGTTCTTTTTTGAGCCCCGAATCAGCAACAAGCATCCACCATTGCACATGTTCAGGATTCCGCTATCAGCACAAAACGCATGTTCTTGGTTTTTTGCCTGGTAGGGCTGAAAAAACTATATGTTTCTTAGATAAATCCTGTAAAATCCCCATGTGTTTTTTTCGAAAAATCTCCATTTTGGCTGGTACTGGCCCAACCTTGGTTAGATCCTGAAGAGAGCTTCAATATTTTGCTAATGGTAAAATGTACTAACCAGATAAAAATGAGATTTGTTGTGTATCTAAGATTCACCATGGGTAAAATCGGCCGCAATCTGGTGCTAGTCAGTTAAGTTGGTTTATAGCTAGGTTTACTATGGTTCATGGTAGATTCTGACTATACCATTCATGGTGCTAAAAACCACCTATCATCACTGGGAACCAGCGAAGCCATCCCAGCTGAGGAAGCTTGGTATGACTCAAGCGGCGGCGTTGCGATTTCGTAAACTTGTACAGGAAATCCAGGGCACCTCTGTGCCGCTGCTCATCGGGTGCCTTGGATCATCTTGGATCGTCGCTTATGGAAAAAAACACCATTTTTTGACCGGTGAAAGGATGAACAGTATGGTGGTTAGTGATGGTTAGTTAATAATCATAAATTTTGTTGGATCATCAATGGTAAAGATGAAAACTGCATTAATCAAAACAGCCCCGTTCATATTAAACAGCAAACGAAACCATGGTGGATGGGAATTTCCACATTGGGACAGAAATTTTGGTGTTTAATGATGGGATTAACCAACTAGAAAGGTGAAAGACTTCCCACTAGAAATGGAAGCGCGAAAAATTTTGGATGTGACTGGTCTTACGGTTTTTAGATGGAAACGCTTCGGGCCAATATGTGAAACTGCCATGCTTGGGCTACGTGCAGTTGAAGTGATCCGAAGTTATGATGGCGATCGAAAATCCCAGCGATTTATGGATGATTTTCCCAGCAGCCTCCATGGATGGTAGGGATTTTCCACGGACTACCGGAGGGATTTTGCTTCATGACTTGGGATATCATCCTGCCATTTCGCAAAGAGGTCACCTAAGTTGATGACAAATTCGCAAAGAGGCAGCTCCCTGAGAATGATCATGAAAATGTTCACTGGCTGTTTGAACAAACAATATTGATTGACGATTTAATCTATAAGTCATGTACAATACAATTGATATATAGTTGTCCAATACCATTGTATCATATATTTAATCTATAGTCAATGTAGTGAATAGTTAATCCAACACCATTATATATATATTTAATCCAATACCATTGTCTATACTCATGGTATTCAATACGTTACGTGTAGTTATCCAATCACTGGGTTTCCACAACTATGATGGTGAAATAGATATGCTTAGTTCACAACAACTGCACCAAGTGTCAAGGTGAGGTTCCCCAGTTGGTTTACCAGCCCGTCCAACTATAGATGTCTCCCAAACTCTAGGCAAATCGTAGGTATAAACCAAGTTGGCTAACATGAATCACCTATAAATTCCATGAAATCCCCTGTAAATTTCCCTATAAATTCCACAAATCCTCAGTTGTTTGTTTAAATCCAGGTCCTTTTTTCGCGGCGAGGTTGGGGCGCGCCAACTGCTCTGCGCATCCACCAGCCCTCTTCCACCTCGCCAAACCGCGACTTGATGGTCCCATTGAACAAGGGCCTGGTGATATGGTGGATGGTTGCGAAAATCTGCACTAGTTGATAGGGGGGCGTTTACCAACTATTAAAAAAGGGTTTCAACCATCCAATCAAGGTGGCGCAGGATTTCGCAACCATCCACAGTATGGTTTACCCTTTGGTAAACTAACATAGCTAAATAGCGAACTGGAAAATCACTATTTTTTGTCGGTAGATCACCGAACAAATGGTCCATAGCTATCATAGCTATGTTAGTTGATATTCCCATGGGGTTAATTTCACCCCCATTTGGAGGTTTCCATAAATGGAGGTACCTCAATAGCTGGATGGTCTATTTAATGGAAAATGGATGAAAATGGATGATTTGGGGATATGGCTTTAACTATCCATAACCAATCAACAGTGGATCAAAAATAACGATATAGATCCCCTATAAACATCTATAAACTATAAAAACCATAGCTATTGGAGTCATTTACCAGCCCCTGTGATATCCGAAAAACCCTTTGGCAATCAAACGTTGGATAGCTAAGTTGGTGAACATCACTTCAATGACTAGGGTGTATGGCAATTATAACTACCTAGACCCTCCAAGTGCCAAATATATATATATATATGGCTGGTGTTTGGAACCTGTTTTATTTGTCCATATATTGGGAATGTCATCATCCAAACTGACTTTCATATTTTTCAGAGGGGTAGGGTTCAACCACCAACCAGTATATACTACCTATTTTGGGATATGTGAAGGGTCTACATAGGTATATGAAATGATCCTTTTCATGGGGGATATAAACCTACATAAGTTCAACTGAAAAACAGCACCTATCGGAGAATCCACCAGGGGATTCTGAAGAGAGTGCAGATCCAGGTGGTTCGATGTGGGGGGGTCCCATTGATGTTTTGGGGACCCCGAAGCATTGGTTTTCCCATTGAGAATAAGAAAGTTTGACGAGAGTTTAGATGATTTTGGATAGCCCCATTTTAGCAAACCCCATGTGGATTGCCTTTGTGAACAAAACTATGACCTTAACATAGCCATGGAAGCCATGGCCCATTGAGAAATGATTCATGAGGAATGAGGATTTACCTTTTAAAAATTGTATTTTCCATAACTACGTCGAATAACTAGAGGATAATATGTTAGACACATTGATTGTTTCCCATGATGCAAGGCCCACAAGGCCCATCACATCGTGGGGGTTGCCCTTGGAGCTGCCCCGAGCTCCGCTCAGGTGGGAGATCTTCAGGATCCAACAGATGGAGGTACGTTAGTACCATATTTCAGGCCATATTTTCTGGTGATATTCACTGAAATTTAGGCCTGAACAATAGGCCTGAAAAACATGGTAGGTACCTCCATTGATCCTGAAGATCTCCCATTGATCGTAATCCAAGAGGATGGGGGTACCCAGGGTTTCCACGATTCTTCCAACTGGGCTCTGAGAAATCTCTGTGGGATGATTTAAAATATGTAGGAGCTAGAGATATTATATCTTTGTGTATATGGCCACTTACTATACATATATATATATACTCACTTGGCATGTTGGTGTTTTTCACACATAGCAAGCAGCTTCGTCTGAGGTGAACAGATTCATCTCCGGCTTGCAGGCGTGACAATGGACATGGGTGATGCCGGAAGATTTTTAGCATGAGCTGCAGGGAAAAATCACTTAGATTTCGAAGTTTGGCAAAGGGAAAATCGTTACCAGCCAACGATGGTAGTTTTTGCTATTGATCATCCCGCGAGGGAAAAAAGCCAACGAATCATAAGCCTAAAAAAAAAAATGGGGAAACAGGGATACTGGGGAGTTGATGTTTTATGGTTGCTGTTGATGTGTTTTTGTTAGGGATGGTGACAAAATAGTTAGGGATGATAGTTAGGGATTCACCCCTTGGAGTCAGCCCAACGGTTAGGGATGGTGACGTGACTATAAAACAGGGGTGAATCCCACATCAAAGCTGCAGCTAGGCTGGATCATCCCACAGTTCTTGTAAGTGGTTGCCAGTGATCGTAGGTCCCCGCGGGCTTCATGGCACATCCTAAACTGGGTAAACTAACTATGCTTGACCACCTACGAAGATGGATGATCCTCCAAGTGGCTTATGTTATCTTTGGGAATGACGATGCTAAATAACTGTCTTTTCTCGGGCTTGAAACCTCCAACCAGTCATATATTTAGGATTTATGGTGCGTAAATCATCATGAATCTTTTTTTTGGGGTTCCCTACAGTGATGTGAATGGTGATTTAAGTGTGCCCCATTGCACCCCATTCACCAGGTCGAGCGAAACCAGCAATTTAGCTATAAGGGGAAAACCACCTCTCTGCGAATGGAAAATGGTGCCATTCTTGCCATGTTTTCATGCCATCTCCCTCCAATTGGAGGTTCCGTAAAAATAGGGCTACCCCTAGTTTTCATCCAAAGTTTACTGGGTTTTTTTCCATAAACCATCTAGCCAGGGAGGTTTTCTCACTATGAAAACCACCAATTTTTCTTGGTGGAATCTTTTGAATCCCTGCAGATCATGCTGCCATTCATGCTGCCATGGTAGATAGGACCACCTCCGTGAGTCCAAAGCGTTTTGATGGTCCATGGGTTGCCACCAGGTGGTCCGGCAACAGATGTTGGATCACCATGGGGGCTGTGTAACACCAAAAACACACAGAACAAGTAGTCTCCAGGTGGTTCTAGGTGGTTCCAGTATCATCAGTATCCATTTTTTCATTTTTTGTCATATTCATTGCTGAATCATACGGTGGATGGAAGAAATCCTGCACCAGTTGATAGGTGGTAAACATCCCATTCGGACAGGGATTGGGTAATGAAGTGATGAAGTGATGAAGTGATGATAATTTATGAATAGTAGGTGATTATATGTTGTGGTTGATAATTATGATTGGCGAATTATGATTTATGATTCATGATTGTGAAGTATATGCCTGTTTGTATGTTCAAAAAGGATTCCGAAAAGTGTTGAGAAGTGTGAAACCACGATGGTACTTCGATGATCCTGGACCTCACTAAATCGCCTTATCATTTTAACCCAGGACCCAGGACCGGTGAATGGACTTGCACGATTGGCAAGCCATCTTCCATAAATCATACATCATCCCCCTAGAAATGGGTAATTTTTTCCATGAAAAATTGGGGGCTTTGCATGGCTTTGCCACATTCTTCAAATGACTTCTGGAAAAAATGTCATCTCACTGTCTTTCCGTTTCACATTGGATTCGAGAAGAAGAAGAAGTTTGCACACCGTTGACTTTTTGTTTGTTGATGTCAACTGGTCTCAATCGCGGAATGAACTTCCACTTTGAACAAAAAAACTATGCAGCAACGAGTCCAGAAAACCCAGCCGCGAGCATCAAGACGCACTTGTACAGAACGCGCCGTCGACCGTTTCAAGATTTGAATGAGACGCGTTTGGGCACCCAGACGTGACGTGGAGAAGCTGCAGAGCATCACTGTGTCAGGAAAAATGTAGTAAACCGTTTCTGGTTGGTGGCTTGGAACATGTTTTATTTTCCCATATATTGGGAATTTCATAATCCCAACTGACAAACTCATATTTTTCAGAGGGGTAGGGTTCAACCACCAAGCAAGGTCTATAACATCCCCAAGCGACTGGATAGCTCGTTTTCTTCTTGGTTCTTTGCAAAAAACGGAACATCACCTTTCGGGCAGCGATTTCGATTCTTTCTGTGGATTGTCGGTCAGAAAGTTAGAAGAAACCCATGGATAATAAACCATCCCCAATCATTATCCCAATAGAGTCAATAGAGGTTTATGAAAGTTTCTGTGGGAGGACCATGATCTTTTATTCCATCATCCAAAAAATCAGATTCACCATGATAAATGATCATCAGAATGATTTTCTTTCGATTGCCAAAGATTATTTCCAGCATGATATGAATAATAGACCATCCCCAGAGTCGAGGTTTATGATTTTTTGGGGGCACAAGACCAGCAAACCAGCAATGGAATGATGTATATTAAAAAAAAAAAAGGGTTTATGATGGCTTTGGATATTGCTGATTTCGACCAAAAAATCCATGGATTGATTCGACCAAAAAAAACTGATGGAAAAACTTCTCACCCCCCAATGGGAGTAACAAAATGTGCCAACAATTAGGGACAGATTTCTACAGCCAAAACTCACCAGAAGTACGGTTCCCTAAAAAATCAAAGAAACACCAGAATAAAGTTTTGGTCATTGACTTCTGTTTGATTATCCTTATTGTCCTTGACCATGATCAAATTTCAAAATCGGATGCGGCAACAGAGTTGTGTTATCCCATCCTCCGATCATAAAAATTACCACTTTCTGGGACCCCAATTCACGAATATTGATATTTCATACTACATAATAGTAGGGATGCCTAATTCTATTGCTAAAATGTTCATTTTTGTTGCCCCCCCCAAAAAAATGAATGTTTTCAATTATTAATAGATTATCCATCGTTAACCATAGATTACTGTATCCAGCGAGAACAATAGATTATCCATCATTAACCATATATTTACCATCATTAACCATAGATTTATCATTATTGCCGGATAATTTCCCATTCAGAGATTGAAGAGATTGTTGTATGCACGATGCTCTTTGGGCACGAAGGACTATGCAAACTTCCCTCGAAAGAAGAGGCAGTCTCAGTTTCAAGAAATACGTACGTTGATTTTGGTTGATTGAGTTATCATAGGATGTTCTGAACTTGTCTTGACCATTATTTTGATGGGGATATACCGGATATACCCTCCGGCATCCATTTATAGATGCTTTTCCCTTTTAAGCCTCCATTTATAGGGGATTTCAATTGCCACGTTTGATTACCAGAGGGTAATAGGGATATACTCGGATGATATACCGATGTGTTCATGATATGCAACATCCTGGTTGATTAGTTGTTGAATGATGATTTGACAAGCATTTCCACTTGTTTCAACATTATGGGCATAAATTGATTAATGATGCTTGGTTGATGATCGTGTGAGGTGTTACACTACCCTTGATTTTGGGGACTATCAAAATCCAGTGCGGGAATCACTACCAAGGATTTAGGCAACAGATTTTGTTACCACAAAATGATTTTTCAGGAAAATGAACGAACATTCGGTACCTATCGGTTTTTCATCCCAAAACATCCCAAAAAAAGTGTCACCGGTGAAAAGTTGGGGGCTGCTTTGGTAGCCCAGGTTTTTGGGGCTTTTCCATCCGGTGCCCAACAAAGCGCGCGCGTGGCGAGCACGGCGAGCCCAAGGAGCCCAAACTTCCTGAGATCACTGGGATCACAACGGGACTCTTTAAAGCGTTCCCGGTCCCGGTCGAATCCGCGAAACGAAGATCCTTGGGACCGGGGCAGAGCGGTTTTTTGTGGCTTGACATATGGCTTGACGTATGGCTTGACTGAGACATAAAATGTGTCCAGAACTTTGCAGTTGGAAAAAATCTTGGAAACGAAGCTGTTTCAGATAGCGCATTCCTGTTCTAAAATGCAATGTTGAATGCAACAACGAAGTATCCCCAGCTTGCAAAGAAACATGCTTCATTAATTTCCAATTTTCCTTTGAGAAAGTACAATGTTTTTTTCAACAAGCAATATCCGTACAAATTATGCAGGAATCCTCTAAAAGATTCAGCATTCGTTTTTGAAAAAGCGCAATCTTCTTCCAAATGATATGCATCCCTTCAAGTACGCAATATTCCTGTGCCATATGTAGCGCGCTTTTCAATTTACAGCCACCTTTTTTTAAATGCAGAATTCATGTCAAAACGTGCAATATCCAGATCATGTAAGATGGCTATGTTGCTTAAACATGGCAAGTACCCCACCATAAGACAATTTTCTTTTCAAGAAGCCATGTTCCTGCAAAAGAAGAAGATTTTATTCGCACAAGTAGTACAGTATTCCTGTTGGAAAGGTTCAGTCTTCCTTGTTTCTTGTTCCTTTAGAACCAGGTCTTTCTCCAAAGGAACTAGATAGTTCATTCAATATGAAAGAGTTGTGCGCTCTTCTGAAAATCAATTGGTTCCATCATGTTTGAGGTTACTTTCCAAAATAATGCCTCATGTGTGGGAAATCCATTGTTTAGTTCAGAAAATTGTCGCCAATGTTGCATCAGCCTCAAGGAGCGTCAATACCGTATACTCTGACTGATCAAAGGACCGCTAAAAAAATACAAAGACGAAGTCCATCTTTAAATTTGAAATGTTGTTTTTCCATATCGGAATCGAATTACTCTTTGAAAAAAGAGATGATGCACGTTCTTGAAGGAACATATTCCGGATAGTTATAAACATTCACATCAAAGAATGCCATGATCACAAAAAAACACCATGGCATATATATAAATGGATCTTACTATAGCAGAAGGCGCCATACTTTTATGAAATTGTACCCTTATTCAAGGTCTCTTTCAGACCATGACTGCGCTCTTTTCATCAAAGGGACTGCACAAAATCAGGCCACACGTTCTTCAAGGAATATCACGTTCTTTGAAAAATACGACTTGGGATCACAGATATTGGAGGGTTATATGTAAGAAAAATGCCGAACCCATGTCCTAAGCGCACTTTGTTTGCT